CCCCCCCTTTCCGACAACAGTGAGTATTAAATATAGTAGTTAAGTTTATGTAGTACAACTGATCATCCCTTTCCCTTAAGCCATGCGTGCGAGAACCACTCAAATTATACATCACGACGACGCCCACATTGGAAAATTATAATACATCATAATATATAATTTAGGAGAGACAACTGATTTCTTTTTTTTTTAAATAACAGGGGCAGACAAATAAACAGACACATAGACAGGAACACAAATTCAATTGTGCCAATCTCAAATTTTTTTAAAATAATTAAACCAAACCCAACAACAAAAACACCATATACAAAGTCATAATTTCGTTTATGTAAAGCAGCGTAAGGGTAGTACTGTAGAAAGTGTATCCCAAATTTTGAGGAAATGAGAGGGCGACTGGATCAGGAGAAAAAAAGGAAGAGTGGGGGTGGAGGGGAGGGGTATATATCGTAAGAGTTTTACAGCACTTGCGTCAAGATAAGGAATTAATGTGTTACACGGGAATAACAAACACAAAAAAGGAGGAAAGATAAGGACAACAGATGTTTGATAGGAAAGACGGCGCAAACCACACCAGGGCACCCACAGTTTAGGAGAGACAAACTCATTTTGACAACTGCAAGAACAGACAAACAAACAGACAGGCGACACGAAGAGAAAATCAGCTTGTTTAAAATATTAAATTTAAAAAACCCACAAAAAAACACCCATTCCTTCGTGTACAAAGACATAACTTCGAGAGGGCGACAGGATCAGAAGAAGAAAGGTGAAAACGGGGTGAATGGGTGGGGGGTGTATATCGAGTATAATCTACCCACGCGATTCTCATTATAATTTTATTCCGACGCTGGGAAAGGCAAAGCCACAGACACATCACCAGAAGGATACCAAAGGAAGTACGAGGTAGTTAGCAGCATCCTCCAACAAGCCAACCCACCTTCCTGAACCGAGATGTAAGATCTTTCAATTCTAAACACAGGAAACGTAAATCATCGAGACAGAAATCAAAAGAGAATCAGGAATTTTAAAAAAGATCTCACTTACCCATGGCGCACACTATCCAGCGAGTTTTGAAAGCTTTCCCCACTGAAAAAGTATATAACAAATTGCATTGTTTTAGTTTTAGTATGAGTTTTACGGCACTTGTAACACAACAAGGTCATGTACGTGCCGAAGATTAGAGGTGTTACAAGAGAGTAACAAACACGTAAAAGGAGGAGTGAAAAGGACGACAGGTGTTTGATAGGAAAGAAAAGAGCAAACCATAACAAAGCACCCACAAACCCACAAACTGCATTGTAGTTCTGTCATTCTCAAACAGTTTTTGTCTAATGACACTAAATGTATTCAGGTTTAGTGCTGTATTGACGAGGCCATATATGATGTTACAGATGTTTTGACTTACCTGTTTTATTTTTTTTTCATTTTAACTGTTTCATATTATTCTTTATTTCTTTGTTTTAAGACGTACGTGTCACCATCGGTGATATGAAAAAAGACAGTGTGAGAGAAAACGTGTGTGTGTGCGTGTGTGTGTGTGTGTGTGTGTGCGTGTGTGTGTGTGTGTGTGTGTGTGTGTTTGAGAACGTGTGTGTGTGTGTGAGGGAAGGAGGGAGGGAGAGAGAGA